AAAAGACTTCCCTGTGCTGAGCTATAAACAGACATACATTAGTAAATTTTAAAATGCCAACTGAAAGAAATGATATGTGAGTGAAATTGAATTGCTGATTTTAAGGAGATAAGAACAAGAGGAGTTTACCTCTGCTACATATGCATATTTCCTGGAAGAATAGACATGAGGCTATAAACTAGACAGGAGCTAAATTACACAAGTTTTTATGAATCAATGAGGAGTTTAGATTTTGTGATAAAGACAAAATGGGTTCAAAATCATCTTTTAAAAGGAGATCAATATAACCAGATTTTAATTTTTAAAGAAAAATTTGGAGAAATTCCACTTCTGGCCAAGTCAGAAAAAGAGGGACTTGGATAGAGCCTCCCTGAAAATAAAAAATAAGAATATAAAACAACAGTTTTCAGGCTGGGGTTGTGGCTCAGTGGTAGAGTGCTCCCCTAGCGTGGGTGAGGCACTGGGTTTGATCCTCAGCACCACATAAAAATAAATAAATAAAAATAAAGGCATTGAGTGTACCTACAACTAAAACAAACAAACAAACAGACAAACAAAAAACCAAGCAAACAGTTTTTCTGACAGTAATTACAAAGTAATAAAAAACAGGGATCTTTGACAAAGGACCTAATCAATTTTCACCCTATGATTGTGCAAGCTTTTTCCCTAGAGAGAAATTCCAGACTATAGTGAAGGAAGAGGGGAAGCAGGTAAAGCCGAGTAGTTTTTCTTGGATTGAGGTAATGAAGCTACATGCTAAGAGAGATCAAGGAAGCTACAGTTTGCAGGATAGAGTACTGTATAAAAGAAGATTGCACACAGACAGAATATGAGACCACAAAGAATCTCTTTTGAGTATTCAGTGGAGCACTAATTAGCACAGGGTTGTAAAGGAACTATTCAAGATTAGGGAAACAACTCAAAAGCATGAGAGGAAACAGCAAACGGATATCACACCAGGCCAAGAAGAGTGTCTGTTTCACTAACCAGATTGGAAAAATTCATAATTCATGAGGCATTAAATGTGGAATTCAAGCTTTTACCTTGAAAGAGGGGAATAATTAGCCCTAGACTGTGCTCTGCCCTAGAGTTAGTTGCCCACAAAAGCATTAAACCAAGACTTGAAAAAATCAAACTCTTTCCTAGATACTGAATTATATTCCAGAAAAAGCTCAAACTACACAAATTCATAGGAATATGAAAATATGTAGCACCCAATAAAATGAAATTCATAATTTCTGGCATCTAACTAAATAATAGCAGGCAACACAGGAAGCATGGAAACTCAAAATGCAATAACAATTGAAAGTGAGACAGAACTGTCCTACACATAAGAATTAAGAAACCTGAAATTTCTTATGAAAACTTAAGACATAGCAATGGGAAATATTTAAAAAGAAAGGCATGAAGAAAAAATAATTTTAAAGTGCATCAGTCTCCTGTGACACAACTTTAAGCATCCTAATGTACAAATATTTATAACTCCTGAGAGGAATGAGAGGTATAGAAAAAATGTAGAGGTATTGAAGAAATTAGCAAACTTTTTCCAAATTTTATTTAAATGTAAACCCACAGATCCAAGAAGCTCAACGACCCCCAAGTACAAGAAATATGAGTAAACACACAATAAACACATCAAAATTAAACTGTTCAGAACTATTGACAAAGAGACACAGACACAGTACACACATAGACATAAAGACACAGTATACACATAGACATAAAGATTAAGATGATAGTAGATTTCTCATTGGAAATTACATATACAAGAAGGTAATAAGGCAACAAACTTAAATACTAAAATAAAAAATACTGTCAATATAGAAGTCTAGGCTGAGAAAAAATGTATAGCTTTCAAGAACAAATGCTAAAGATAATTTTAGATGCACAAAATCTAAAAGAATTCAGTGCCAGCAGACAGCTTACTGTAAGAAATGTCAGAGAGAGTCCTTTGGGCAGAAGGAAAACAACCTAGATTAAAAGTTACATATATACAAAGGAATGAATAACTGTGAAATAATAAATATGTGGACAAATATATATATATATATATATATATATATATATATATATATATATAAATTTTTCTGATTATTTAAATATCTTTAAAAGATGATTAACCAAAAAAATGTAATGCAGGCATTATAATATACATAGAACTAAAATCTCTTCCAACCACTGGACAAAGATTGAGAAAAACATTACAAGAAATATACTGTTATCAGGTTTTTACACCAGATAAGAAGTGTTATATTTCATTTGAAGGGAGACTGAGAAGTTAAAGATATCAATCAAACAAGATCCACTGAAATAACAAAGAGAACAAAAATGAAATGGAACAAAGAAAAAACAAATAGCAAATTGATATACTTAAAGATAAATATGTCAAAAAAAAAAAAAAACCCACAAATGTAAATGGTCTAAACCCTCCAACTTATGGGAAGGCATTTCCTAATTCTGTAAGAAAAGAAGATCCAGCAATATACACTAAATGTAAAGACCCAAATAGATAAAAAGGGATTATACTATTATCAAAGAGATTTTAGAACTAAAAATATTACAAGGGAGCAAGAAGGTAATTTTGTAACAATGAATCAACTCATCAAAAGTACATAGCAATTCTGAATATTTACATAGCTGGTGACATAGCTTCAAACTGACTGAAGCAAAAACTGATAGAACTGCAAGGAGAAAAAGATGAATCCACAATTACAGTCAGAGATTTTAATATCACTCTCAATATTGGTAGAACAAGTAGACAAAAAATCAGCAAGGATAGAGTAGACAAAAACAGTATCAATAAATACAATCTAATTGACACTTATGTAACAACTTTACAAGATGAGAAAATATGTTCAAGTGAGCACAGAACATTTACCAATGCAAACTATATTTTGGGCATAAAAATGAAGTACTGATTTTAACACACTTGAAATTATACAAGTTATATTAACTTACCATAATTGGATTAAATAAGAAATCAAAAACAGATCTTTGGAAAATTGCTAAATATTTGTAAATTAAATGGCACTTCTACATAGCCCATATGTTATAAGAAAAATCAAAAGGGAAATTAGAAAATATTTTGAACTGAATGAATTTCATCAGAATTTGTGATTATGAAACTATAATCTGTACTTAGGGAGAATTTATAGCATTAAAATCTTATATTAGAAAATAAAACTTAAGTCAATGAGTGTAGCATGTATATTTCAAAAACTATAAACAATCAAATTAAAAGTTAGAAAGAAAAGAAACATTAGTATGAGAATTAGTGAGATAGAAAACAAAAACAAATAGAGAAATTAGTGAAAATAAAAGCTGATTCTTTGAAATTATCAATGAAATTTACAATCTATCTTGCTGAATCTTAAAATGATTGTACTAAGAACACAGACAAAAAATTGTATATTTACTTTATTAATTTACTCAAATAAATTCTAGAAAACGCAACCTAACATCAGCCATCAGCCAGGAAGAAGAGAGGATTTGGGGAAGGGCAGAGAGAAGCAGTTACAAAGAAGTTCTCTGATACATTTGGGGTGATGGACAGGTTTATTAACCCAATTTTGGTGATGGTCTATCATGTTTATTATATCCCAATCATACCTCTTTGAAACTGTTTTTTTTTTTCTTTTTCTTTTCTTTTCTTTCTTTCTTTTTTTTTTTTTTTTTTTTTTTTTTTTGTACCAGGGATTGAACCCAGGGACCCTTAACCAGTGATCCACATCCCTAGCCCCTTTTTAAATTTTTTTTTATTTTGAGAGAGGGTCTTGATAAGTTGCTGAGGACCTTGCTAAATTTCTGAGGCTAGTTTTGAACTGGCAATCCTCCTGCTTCAGCCTCCAGAGCTGCAGGGATTACAGATGTACACCACTGCACCAGGCTTTAAGACTGTTCTAAAAGGACAGTCTTAATTTTAATTTTCTTAATTATACAAGAAAATATTAATATTAGCTACTACTAGTATGTGAGAATTGGAGGGAATATGGTTAAAAATGATTTCTGCTGTTCTTTTAAGAACTGAATTCACTGGACACAAACTGAACATTATTTATAATATCTGCAATTAATCCCATTCATGGGGGTCTACCCAGTGACCTAATCACTTCCTATTCAATTAAAAAAAGCTACTGCAGAGAAGTGTGACTAATTATGAATATGTTCATAATATTAGTGAGTCTATGCAGTATTATTTAACACATATGTAAATAGCATACAAGCCAATCATATTGTACAATGTTTTTACAAGCTGATAAGAGGAAATATACAGCCACATTTCAAAGAATATGAAGACGTAATTCATCAAGATGGATACAAATAGCCAATAGAAATATAAAAAAGGTGGTCTGCCTTATTACTTATGAAATATATATTCAGAAAATGGTGAATTAACCACTTGGGTCTATCAGGTTATCAAATATTGAAAAATTGATATTTTCCAGTTATAGGTGAAAATGTAAAGAATATAGATTTCTAAAGACAACCTAAAACTGTATATCAAAATTAAAAAGAATGTTGACAAATTAATTTCACTTCCAGAAATTAATTTTAATTCCAGGAATTTGTATAAGATAATAGAATAATATATAGATACTAATCAAATATTGTATAAAGTAGTAACAAAGTTAAACAATTCATATGTTCATCAATAGAATGAAATAAAATAACATATTACCTATTGGGTAACATGGAATGTCACAGACTGTTACAAAACAATGGAATGGATAAGCTAGATCTAGTGGAATGTGATGATCATTATTATTCAAAGTACAGATATTGGTGTGAATATAATCGAAATTGTGCTCTATATGTGTAATAAGAATTGTAATGCATTCCACTGTCATATATAAATAAAAATTTTAAAAAAATAGATCTGTATTCTCATAATATATTAGTGAATCATTTTTGAAATAACATATTTATATAAGTATATATTCACATATAGATATTTGGGACAGACTTATTTTTCCAACATTAACTATTGATTTTTCTTACAGATAAGGAGAGAGTTCATAAGGAAAGGTAGGTAGCATCATAAGGGTCTTTTCACTTATGTATCTCTATAGTTAATTATTTGCATTGCATCATTATAATATTTTAATTTTGGAAAAAAAATACCAGCTGTCTTATGAAACTCAGAATTAAGATAACCCTTTCTGAAGAATGCATGTACTATAGTTTAACTATGAGGAATCCCTCCAAAGCTCATGTGTGAGATGATACAAGAGGGTTCAGAGGTGAAATGATTGGGTAATGAGACCCTTAATCTAATCAAAGTGTTAATCCCCCGATAGGAATTGATTGGGTAGGGTAAATGAAGGCAGGTAGGATACAATGAGGAGGTAGGTCACAGTAGACATGCCTTTTGGGTTCATATTTTGTCCTTGGTGAGGGTCTGTCCGTCTCTCTCTGCTTTCTGATTGTCATGTCTGAGCTGCTTTCCTCCTACATCAAACCCTTCCATCCATCGTGATGTTCTGCCTTATCTCGGGCACAGAGCAATGGAGTCAGCTCTCCACGGACTGAGATTGCTGAAACATTGAGCCACAAATAAACTCTTCTTCCTCTAACATTATTCTTGTCAGGTCTTTTGGTCACAGCAACAAAAAATTTGACCAAAACAGCATACAATCAACCTTTTAGAAAGTAGAACTCAATTCAGAATCACGGGTGGGTTAGTCTCTTTCTCTGCCACGCGTTGGCTGTGTGATCCTGGAAATTCATTTCAATTCTGAGTCTCAGACACTTGATTCATGCACTGGAATAGTACTACCTACCTGACAGCGAAGAGAAAGGATTGGGTAAGTGAGGCGCTGTGAAGTGTCAAAGACAGGTGTTCAAGAGACACTAGTTTCCTTGCTCTCAGAGCCAAGAAGCACTAAATATCCTCATTAAGTTTTCAAGTAATTAAGGCATTTTAAAAATATCTGACGAACGCCCAAGAAATGTCTGGAAAATGTGCCAGAACCTCCTTAAAACACAATGCTATAGGCGCTGGACAAGGAAATCACCTTACAAATCAGCATTTTGACATTTCAGGTTCCGTATCTAGAAAATGGAATCCAAGGATGGTAGCCTTGAACAGAGTTCCAACTATACAAATGGTGTTAGTCCTAACAGGAGGAGAAATGTTACTGAATTTTCACCAACGGAATAAGAATAAAGAGGGTGTCTAAATTATGAAAACATATAACAAAGAGTGAAACAGTTCATCTTTTACATCGACACATGCCCTCTTCCTGCTGCTACCTATAAGCAGACTGTGCACGCTGGTACAGGTGGTCCTCTGTAATTGTGTGCATAAAATAACTGAGTCATTTTCCGATTGGTAAATAATATGCAATGTCAGATTCTCTGCACCATCTGTGTCACCCACCACCACATTTTGCTGCAAAACTGCCAGCAGCACCACGTTGTTGGAGAAGTCACAGGAAGAACCACTTGGCATCCTTGGCAAAGCTTAAATCTATTCACAGTATTGAACCTGACATATGCCCCAACGCAGAACGTGTATGCTACCCTAACGATCTTTCCTGCTGTTCTATAATCAGAGACATAGATGGAGGGAGTGCTGCCACTTTTTCATTTGGCACTGAACAAACTCCTGGACTCTCTTTTTGGCCAAACAATGCACTCATATTTAGGAGAATCAATGTGCAGATTACTAAACACAACCATTTCACTATTTCCATCACTATGTGCTACATGTAAGATGTGTGCTTCTTTCTGAATCTTTTCCCCAGCTGTGCTCAGTTTTTGAATCCTCTGAAAAATAGAGTGGCTCGCTGCCATTGTTAGCCCTGACAGTTTAGACGAACTCTTGAAGTCTGGAGGAGCCTAGGTGGCGGTTGCCTTGTCAACCTGTCTTTTTGTGGAAGGAAAGGAGGCCCGAGTCCAGAGGGCATGTCTTGGCTTCATTTTCAAGACGTCTGGTACTGACAGAAGCTAAGAGTCAGCCTCAGCATGCACCATGCAGAGAAAGTCCTGGAAAGGTTTCTCCTTCCATCCCTCTGTTTTGTTGTTTCCTTTCATATCATTCACAATGAGCCATATCCATATGGTGCTAGTGCCAGATCCAGGAGTGACTGGGTTTTGCCAAATCTCTTAGACCAGGACTTTCACATTACCCTTTGGTACTAACATTAGCTAAAAAATTAACCTGGCTTCGAGACATTTCTATGGGAAAACTGTCTACACAATTTAATTCAGTAGCGCAAAACACAAAATTTTGACCATGATTTGTTTAAAAATCTACACAAAACTAATATAATTCCAAACTGAGGGTAGATTTCATAAGCAAACACAACAGTTAAATACAACTTATGACCCAGATGAAAGAAAACAAAACACTAGACAAGGGTCACTTATAATACTACAAGAAATCTGATAATGACATATTTGCTTGAGGAACACTCTTCGCTTATTTTATTGCAGTAAAAGTAAATGTCATGATAATCATTAATCCATCAAATGCTCTACATTGGTTTGGAATTGGTTTTACCAAGGATAAATACAAAAATATGACATTTAGAAAAGAAAACATCATGATATCACTCCATGAAACTTTATGGTCCTTATTAATAACATGGAGACCAATCAAAGCACTAGTGAGAAAATTAAATAAAATCTGTGACTATAAACCTAAAATGGTACATACAGAAAATTCATTATAGCTCTACCTAAGTGAATGTATAAATATACACTTAACATTAAACTAGTTATATCACACTTAAATTTGGCTCGTATTATTAATATATTATTTCCACTTAAAGTAATCCATTGGTATTTATGGAAGATTCACTCCAAAATCCCCAGATACTCAAGTTGCTTTATAAAATGGTGTAAGTATTGACATATTACCTATTAACATCCTCCTATATACTTAAATCATCTCAGGATTACTTATAATACCTAATAATAAGTAAGTGCTATGTAAATAGTTTGTATTGTTTAGGGAATAAATGACAAGAGAAAATCTGTAACATGTTCAGTAGTATCTGAATATTTTTTTAATACTTTCTTTCTAAGGTTAGTTGAATCCACAGATACAGAATCTATGGATATAGAGGCCAACTATATGTCAGTAAGAGATGATCTTCAGAAAGAGCACACTCTAAAGAAATGTGATTAGATTGCCTCTGAATTCTGTCCGGATGTAGAATTGTGTCTTTGAATATATTTTTATACATACAGTTGACCTTCCATGTGCAAGGGTTTCACATCCACAAATTCTACCAACTTTGGTTCCAAGACATCTGGGAAAATAATTGCATCTATAGTAAACACATGCAGTCTTTTTTTCTGATCACTATTTCCTAAATAATGGTATAACAACTATTTATATTACTTGTGCATTGTAGGAGGTAATAAAAGTAATCTAGAGATGCTTTAGAGCATATGGAAAGATGTGTGTAAGTTATATGCAAATACTATGGCATTTTACATAAGGAATATGAGCATCCGTGGATTTGGAAATGAATCCCCCACAAATACAGAAGGGAAACTGCATTTAGTTTCTATATTCTCATCCTTCACTGAATTGTTGCAATTTTGTTGTTGCTGTTGTGATTTTGTGTTAGTGGGTTTATGATGTAGTTCTTCCCATGCTTTTTAGTAGTGATTTTCTGCAGTAACTAACTTGATCCTGGTTCTGAACTGTCCACTTGTCTAGTGGAGCTCCTCACAGCTGCCCTCCCTCCAGTTCGTCATTTCCTGCTATTCTTGTCCTTCAGGCAGGGATCTGCAGGTGAGGTTGTGTGCAAAGTGAATGAAATATCCTCAATGCTTTATTGTACTTTGAAACAGCTCTTCCAGCTTACTGGCCTTCAACCAAAAAACCCTTAAGGAGGCCAAGATTTAGGGGTGTGTATGTATACCCTGTGTGATATGGAGAAGTAAAGAAGAGCCATGAAAAGAAGGATTTGACTCCTCTGATTACTGATAATAGCGGGTGAGGTCATTAGCCTCCACAGTACTTGTTTGAAACCTAAACAGGTACAGCAACTCACCATTAGGATCAATCCATTACTGAATTAGAAATACGACTGAATTTAGCAACAAATTTGTGCCAACATTACTTCTAGCAGCAGTAGGTTTTCAGCAGCAGATTGGCACCGTGACAGAGTCCATAATTTTCACAGTATGTGTTTCATAATTTGTCATGCACACTCTGATTGCTTGGCATATTGGCAGAGTCCACAGTGCTCTCTAAATGTCACCAGACGCATTTGAGGATTTGTCATGCACGGTCTGAACAAGTGACACAACACAGCAGAGTGGCCAGGTTCAGAGCTGATTTTTGCACTCCCTGTAAGTGAGTGCTCTCAAGTTCAGCCACCAGTGACGAGGGCCTGGTGGGGGCTGCACAGCCCTCCTCTTGGAGCTGCTGATTTTTAATTCTGTGTCAAGTGATCATATGGATGCTGCCAGGAGAAAATACTATTTCACGGCAGGTGTGACATGCACGGTACAGAATTTGTTGCCTGATAATATTCTTTTCAAATCATTCCTTGTAGTGCACTTAACATTTTTTTTCATAAAAGCACAAAGAGCATTTCACAAATTAGGAGTAAGAAATAGGAGAGGATTAACTATGAATAGAGGGTAGAAAAAGCTATATTACAATAAATTACTCAGTTAAGGGAGCAAAGGATAAGATGTGTCTGCTGATTTTAACAGAAACAGAGAGCAGTGTTGGATCAGAGATTCCTGGATTAGTTATTCTAACACCTGGCTCCTGTAGAAACAGCTCCTGAGTTTAGGCAGCCCATCCATCCTTTCTTGGTCTTGGTTAATGAGGAAGTGGAATGAGAGAACCTCTAAAAGAGCTTTCATGTCTCTACATTCCATTGTTCTAAGATAGGAGAGTGAGATTATTAATATCTTTCAGTCTTGTGACTCCTTTGCCTGAAATGATTGCATAATGATTTCTCAGTGTTTAGTAAAAGCTTCAAGAGCTACATCTGCTGGAAGCTTTTAGTCGTCTAGGATCCCAGCCATTATATTATCACTTTTAGTTGCTG